TTTATTTTATTTTATTTTATTTTATTTTATTTTATTTTATTTTATTTATTTATTTTATTTTATTTATTTATTTATTTTTATTTTATTTGGTTTGTCAATTGTTTACAAGATAATAGGTATAAGTAAAAACATAGTTATGAATATATGGATACATATAAGAAAAATAAAAGAAACAATAGGACAGGGACGGTAGGCACGTTGGTGTGCTTATGCACACCCCCTACAGATCTCTTAGGAAAGGGGTGAGGTCAATAGTAGAAAGTCTAAGGTTAAAGTTTTTGGGGTTTGGGGAAGAAACCAGAGAGTCAGGTAGAGTATTCCAGACATTGACCACTCTGTTGCTGAAGTCGTATTTCCTGCAATCAAATTTGGTGCGATTAACCTTGAGTTTGTATCTATTGTTTGTTCTTGTATTGTTATGGTTGAAGCTGAAGTATTCATTGACAGGTAGAACATTGCAATGTATGATTTTATATACTATACTTAGATCGGACCGAAGGCGGCATAGTTCTAGATTTTCTAGGTCTAGAATTTCAAGTCTGGTGGCATAAGGTATTCTGCAAAGAGTAGAGGAGTGGAGAATGCTTCTTGTGAAATATTTCTGGACTTTCTCAACTGTGTTAATATCAGATACATAATGTGGGTTCAAGACTGATGAGCTGTGTTCAAGTATTGGTCTAGCAAATGTTTTGTATGCTCTAGTTAGTAGTGTAATATTACCAGAGAAAAAGCTACATAAGATTAGGTTAACAACTCTTAATGCCTTTTTGGCTATGTAGTTACAGTTGGCTCTATCACTTAGATCATTAGAGATGAGTACTCAAAGATCCTTGATAGAGTTTGGATCATCAACAAGATCTTGACTAAAGATCTTGACTATTCAACCTGTATTTTATTTTCTGATTTTTTTTTGCCAGTATGTAAGACAGAGCATTTATTTGTTGAGATTTGAAGTTACCATTTGTTTGACCATTCTGATACATAGTCAAGGTCTTTTTGAAGGGTAGCAGTATTGTCTGTGGTGTTGAATAGCTTTACATCATCAGCGAAGAGGACGCAGTTGTTCTTAATATGATCACAGAGGTCATTTATGTAGAGTATCAAGAGAGTTAGTCCTAGAAGACTGCCTTGGGGGACACCACTGTTGACAGGTACAGAATTTGATAGGACACTCCCAATTTTGACCATTTGTTGTCTGTTTGATAGGAATGCTTCTATCCAGTTATGCAGGTGTCCAGAGATACCATAAGATTTTATTTTTAGGAGTAGTTTGTCGTGTACCACTGAATCAAAGGCTTTACAGAAGTCTATGTAGATTGCGTCTATTACTTTGCCCTGATCGAGTTGTGTAGTCCATATGTTTTTGCAGTGTAAGAGCTGCAGATGGCAGGATATTTTTTTTCTGAAACCAAATTGTTTATTAGAGAGTAGGTTGTTTGTCTCTAAGTGGAGGATAATGGATTGGTTAATAATTGATTCCATGACTTTACAGGTGACGCAGCATAAAGAGATTGGTCTGTAATTTTCAACTAGGCTGGGGCCTCCCTTTTTGAAGATGGGGATGACCGTGGGTTGTGACCATAGTTTTCCATTGTCTAGAAGCTGTGAGAGTATTGACAGGACAAAACAGGCTGAAGTTGAACTCGGGTGCAAGAAATATTTTTTTATAGATTCTCTGCTACACAGTATACCTTGTTCTGTCTCTTGATGGAGTGACAGTGCCTCTGAAAAAGCAAGCTCATGGTTTGGGGTTGTCCTGAAAACATAGCTTTTGTTAAATAGGCAGACAGATACCATAGTTAACTTGTGTTTGTCCAGTTTCACCTGGTACTTCAGTTTTGACCCTCTCAAAACTCCAAGGACCTTACAACAATAATTCATGCTCTCCCCACACCTGTCTGTTCTATTGCAATGCATTCTGCATGGGGTTGCTTTTGAGGATCATCCAAAAGTTTCCATTAGGGTTTAGAAAATGTCATATAATGGCCAGAATATAACGGCCCAAGTGCTGGCTGGTAGACACCAGCATAAGCATGTGCCTCTGTGATCCAGGCTCTATACCAATTCTCTATTTGTTCTTAAATGTATGTCAAATTGCTGTTTTTATGGGGTGTGACACTGGGGGGATCACCTCCTCCAATTGGTACTCAACACCATCCCAGGAGAATCTATTTGATAATCCAAGAATTTTGTTTGTTGTCTTATGGTCATTCATGAAAAGGCCAGTACTTTGGGGTTATGCCTACTCTTTGGAAAGCTCTCTTCCCAATAACTGAGGGACACCTATGGTACATTGTTCATATTTTCAATTACATCTTTCCTGTTTGAGTAGTAGAGGCAGGTTTTTTTTATTTCCTATCCATTTTTAATGTACCACTTTTACAATAACTTTTTTATTTGATGTTGCTTTATTCTTTTTTGAATTTGATTGCAAGGTCCTTTGAGATATTTTATGGGAGGCAATAGATAAATCTTTTAATATTTATAAATAAAAATCAGATGATGAAAGCTTCTCCTGGTATCATGGGAAGCTTTTTCTTCTTTGAAACTTTATTACTGCATGGGAAAGGGCAGAGTAAGAATGCTTTATAGATAAATAAATGTATGTTTGCCCCATTTAGAGACAGGGCTATTTTAGGGAACCTACACCATCATCACCTCCCCTTCAACCCTTGCTCCAAAGGTTTTGGTACAAATAAGAGAATGGAGTTGGACTATAGCTATCATTATCTATTATAATTGGCTAAGCTGTCTGGGGCAGGTAGGTAGGTGGGTAACTTGAATTCTTAATCTCTGTTATAATGCTGTAATTGGAAGGGAGAATATTAAGGAATAATGCAGCCAGAAATGGCTGTTGTAACACTGAAATGAAAAGCAAGGCAAAGCGGGGGGGGGGGGGGGTTAGCTAATGGTTTAAACATTCCCCCTTCCTACTACTTTTGCAAGTTCTGTCTCTATTTTAAGGGCTGAAAAATAGACTTCAAAATGGCACTAAAATGACTGCCTTTCATACATTCAATTGTGTCTTTTTGGTGGTCTTCAAGTA